GGTTTTCCATTCTCTATGGAGTCAGTAAGGACACCTTCTCTCCCACCCAACTTTCTGCCTATCAGTATGCACCCCCATGAAGAATTAGAAAACCTAGGTGCCCTGCCATCCCAGAGCAAGACTCTATATCTCTGGTCTCAGTGTTCTTGTCTGCAAAATGATTCTAAAGGTGTTTTCTAGCTCTGAACACCAATGATTCTATAAAAGACTGAAAAAATATGTCTCAACTCTTGACATGTGGCGTATGAAGGAAGTAATAGAATTAGCATATGAGCCTAGACTGTAGAGAGAATGCTTAGGCCCTACCTCCTCATTTTTAGTTTTGCCTGCACAGCAAAGACAAACCTCAAGAGCCTCTCACCACCCTCTCTCACTCCCACAGCCCTCTTACGTGAGGGGTGGCGCCACCAAATGGTCCCTTTTCTTCAGTGGCTTCGAAGCCTATAGCATCCTCTACTGTGAAAATATTTTTTTTTGGTAGAGAGAGTATATTAAAACCTACTTATGCTTCTATATAGCTTTAAAATATATTTCCTAGTGAATATGATAAAGGATCGAAAACTTAACTTATTGCCATTGAGGCGGACCTGACTCATAGCAACCCCTCTTTGGGTTTCCGAGGTGGTATCTCTATGGAAGTACATTGCCCAGTCTTCCTTCTGAGGAGTGGCTGGTGGGTTTGAACCGCCAGCCTTCTGGTCAGCAGTCAAATGCCTTAGGCACTATGCCACCAGAGCTCCCTATGGTAAAGGATACACATACACACACGTGTTTTTTTTTTCCTAAATGAAATTTTCTAGCTTGAGGAAAAGGGATAGGTTCACAAAATTATTTCTGCTCGTTGCTTCTAGAAACAGCTAACCATTATTTGTAATGTTTCATCAAGAAATCTCAATGTATCCTTTATGATGCTGGTTTTGAATAGTAAGCCCTACGTTTGTGTGGCAATTAAATTGTCCCTATCCATTTTCTCACCTCTTTTCAAGTCCCTAGTATGGACTATATATACCTAACTCAAAACTAAGTACCCCAAAATGAAACAAACCCACCGCCTACTAGTCTTTTCCAACGTATAGCGACCTTCTAGGACAGACTAGAACTACCTCCATAGGGTTTCCAAGGCTATAAATGTTTCTGGAAGCAGACTGCCTCCTCTTTCTCCTGTGGAGCAGCTGGTGGTTTTGAACTACTAACCTTTTGGATAGCAGTCAAATGCTTTACCAGTACGCCACCAGAATAACAAACCAAACCCATTGCCTTCAAGTTGATTCCAACTCATAGTGACCATCTAGGACAGAGTAGAACTGCCCCATAGGGTCTCCAAGGCTGTAAGTCTTTTCTCCCACAGAGCAGCTCATGGGTTTGAACCACTGACCTATCCAATAACAGCCGAGTGCTTAACCACTGTACTACCAAGGATCCTTAGATACCTAAGTAGAAGTCTTTTTAAAAATTGTTCTGTGAAAGTGGAATTCTGTGTGATATGTTTGTTTTGGGAAATGTGTTCTCTAGTCTTCTGTGATGCATTGTTTTTGTGTTTAAGCACATCTGGTTTTAGCAGTGTACACTACACTATATTTCTCTGCTAACTATGTCATCTTCTGCTCCTGTTATTTCAGAGCAATTGCTTTATTCCCCTCTGGAGCTATTTATACTCCATATTTTCTGTTCCGTGTGCTACCCATTCACCTGCAAGCCT